ACAAGAGATATATAAATAAAAGAGAAGTAAGGAATATAAATTCAATTAGATCTCACAAATCATGAAGAACCAAGTCTAGAATAATCCTTTGGCTGGAAAAATAAATTAAATCTCCATAAACATGGGAGCCTTATCCCAATTATTCATGAAAATAAAAGAAAAGAAGAAAAGAGAAGAAGAGAAGAGAGGGCGTGCATGCGTGATTGGGAGGAGAAAGAAAAGAAGTGATGACTCTAAAATAAATCTCCAGTCTGGTTTTTAATCAAATCAGTCTAATCCTAATCCTAGCAGAAAGTACGTAGAAAATAAAGAGATCATTCTCTTTCCAAAATATCCTAATAAAATATAATAGTCCAAAAATAAAGACTCCTAAAGGATTTTATTATTCTCTTTCCAATTTGACACTCCTTTCTTCTTCCAACTCTTGTAGGAAATTAGCGTGCCCACGCCTTAGCTCAAATTCGTCTCTTTCGCTCTCCAATCATCACAAAATTCCAAATTCCGAGATATCCTACAAAAATCATAAAAACCAATTAAAATCAATAATTAAGCTCAAACAAATACCGAAAAAGTATGAAAAACACGACAATTAACATGCCAAGAATATGACTTATCAAGTTTAAAGGTTTCTGTACCTTCATTCTTGCCCTTTTGTATTGCATGTAGACTAGGTAAACTGCATGAGAAGCATTTTGCTTCTCAGCCTATTAAAACTCCATGCCTCTTGAGCTTGTACATATTGATGTGTGGGGCCCCTCTCATGTTCTTTCTGTTGATGGATACAAGTTTAATGTTCATTTTATTGATGATTTTACATTGTTTACATGGATTTTTCCTCTCAAGTCTACATCTGATGTTGTTGGGGTGTTTAAGTTGTTCCATAAATTTGTTCTCACTCAGTTCAAAAACACCATTAAGTGTCTTCAGTCTGATTGGGGTGGAACGTACAACTCCTTGGTTCTTTTGCTTAATGATTTTGGTATTGTGTTTAGACATCCATGTCCACATACACATCAACAAAAGTTGAGAGGAAACATCTTTACATTGTAGAAATGCTAATATCTCTTCTTGCTTGAGCTAAGATGCCACTTAAGTTTCAGTGGGATGCTTTTAATACTGCAGTCTACACTGTCAATAGACTCCCTACTACAGTTCTATCCAATAAGTCTCCCATTCAAATGTTGTTTCACTCCTTACCTGATTTGTAAGTTCTGAAAACTTTTAGTTGTGCTTGTTTTCCCTATTTGAAACCATAGAACAACAACAAGTTCATGTTTAGATCCTCTAAATGTCTTTTTCTGGGGTACAACCTTCATCATTTTGCTATGGAGCCATCGGGTGGCTCGATTTATGGAGCCATCCACATTTATTCACCAATAGTGTATTGACATGTGTCCTGCAATAAATACAATTTGGGCAGGTGTCAATATATTAAGTGGTGGATGACTCCATAGATTTTTTGCAACCTTCATCATATCTTATAGGTGTCTTAGTCCAGATGGCAAGGTTGTGTAGCTATTATTGTCTTCTTTAATGAGGATGAATTTTTTTATTCATTATTGTTTTCCACCTCTGTACCTTTGCCTTCTAACTCTACCTCCAAATGGTTGTATTCCCCATATCCCCATGTGGTTCCTCTTCCCCCCTCTTCGAATGATCACAACCTGGTGCATCTCCTGCTTCCTCTATCTTGCACTCGGATTCTAACTCTACCTCAATACTTGCTATCTATCCCACTTGCAGTTCATCTACCTATTTCTCCATGTTCTAATAATGGATCTTCTTCACTTGTTTGTCATGTTCAGTCTTTACATGTTTCTTCTCATGATCAGTCTTCTGATCACATGATCATTTGGTCTAAAGCTGGTATCATCAAGCCTAAGACCTTCTCAGCTCAGCTCAGCTCACTACTTTGCCAATTTAGGAACCTTCTTCCGTTGAGGCTCTATCTAAATTTATGTGGTATGCTGCCATGAAAGCTGAGTTCAAGCCCTGATTGCCAACAATACTTGGTCCTTAGTTTATCATTCTCTTGATATGAACATTTTATCCAAAAAATGTGTTTAAGAACCAAGTATAGACTTGATGGTTCAGTGGACAAGTTCAAAGCTTAGTGGCTTGGGGTTTTCAGTAGATGCGGATTTTTTTAGACCTTTAGTCCAATTGTTAAATCATCTACTACTAGACTTGTCTTTACTCTTGCTGTGACATACTCCTGGCATATCCAACAAATTGACATAAATAATGTTCTTTCAATGGAGATCTCACTGGAATAGTGTTCATGACTCAACCTGAGGGTTTTGTTGACTCAAATCACCCCATTGCTATATGTAAGCTTAAAAAATCTCTATATGATCTTAAACAGGATCCAAGAGCTTGGTTTACAAAGATCCAACATTTTTTGATTTTCTTGGATTTTAAAGAATCAGTTTCAGGTTCTTCTATTTTCTTTAAAAGATCACATGGTGAGTTGCTTTTGATATTGATTTATGTTGATGGCATATTGATTACGGGTGACAATTAAATGGCTGTTAAGTGTCTTATTGATACACTTGGTCAAAACATTTTCTTTAAAGACATTGGGAGAGGTCAATCACTTCTTTGACTTTGAGGCCCTACGAACTTCTGATGGCATGGTTGTCGATTAGGCAAAGTATGCTTTGGATCTCTTGGCTAAGACTAGCATGGTTCAGTGCAAACCGGTTTCTGCACCTATGTCTCCATCTCACGAACTTCCTCTTCAAGACAACGCTCCATTTTCCAATCCTTCTCTTTATAGAAGTGTCATTGGTGCACTTCAATATCTTACTATGACCTGGTCTGATATATCTTTTGCTGTGAACAAGCTTAGTCAATTTTTGCATACACCAACTCAGCATCATTGGATGGCATGTAAGCATCTTCTACGATATATCAAAGGGACCATTTCAGTTGGTCTTCTCTTTCAACCAGTCCACAGATTCACTCCTGAGGCCTACCGTGATGCAAATTGGGCTAGTTGTGTTGATGATAGAAGATCCACAGATGGTCACTTCATTTTTCTTGGCTCAAATCTTTTTAGCTCGAGTTCTAAAAAGCAGCAAGTGTACTGAAGCCTTGCAAATGCCACCTCTGAGTTTCTTTGGATATGGTCTTTGTTTCAAGAACTTGACTTGCCTTTTAAGCTACCTCCAGTCTTGTGGTGTGATGATGACAGTGGTGCAGCTCTAGCTTACAATACTGTTCTTCGTTCTAGAACTAAACACATTGAGATAGATGTGCATTTTGTTAGAGAAAAAGTGGCTGCAAAGGATGTAGAAGTTAGATATGTTCCTTCTCATTTTCAGGATGCTGATCTCCTCATCAAACCTTGCCTCTTGGCCATTTTCATTTGTTGTGTTCTCGGCTTCCTCTGCGTGCAAAGGGCTTTTTGCACCCATCTTAGTTTAAAGGGGTGTATTATGAGATAGCCTGATTATGATTTGTTATGGCAGTTAAGCTTAGCTTGGTTAGTAAACTTGCTCATCACGCGAAGTTAGTTAAGAGGTTAGCTATCAGTTGTCAGCCCATGTGAGCGTGCATCTGCTCTACGTTTTGTATGAAAACAAGCTCACCATCATCTTTGAGTATAATGCAAAAATTCATATTCCATTCTTTCATGTTCTTCCTGTAAGTTTAACAAACTAACACAACATGTCAATATTCACGAGCCTTTCATTCCTTAGCTCAGATTGGTCATAACTAGTTTATAAAAAATGTCGGCTCATTCCACACCAAGTTAAATGAAAACAATAAAATTCTTTGGTAGAAGTTTTGCCTCCATTAAATATTATGGGTTGCATTCCTATATCTCAAGAAAAACATAGGATTGTACATGAGTTCTTTTAAGTCGGTTTGGGTGTGTTTGTTTATAAGTTTTATCATTACATACTCAATCCATACTCAAAATCTAACTTAACTTTTAACTCAATCTCAGTATTCTCAATATTATCAATATAATTAAATAATATCAATTAATCATTTTTACATATCATATCAACTTTAATTCATTATTCATCCACTCACGTAATTTTAACTAACCATCACTTCACACCATATCTCTAATACTTTTACATCGAATTAAGTTTAATTATTTTATGTTACATATTATTTTAATATCACTCAAAATCTTACTAGCAACTAACCATACAACTCTTTTTAAAATTAACTTTGGTTAACAAAAAAAAAATAAAAAAAAATCTGCCGATATATTTGTATCCAAGCATAATGATGAACCCACTTCGAAAGCTGTGGAACTATCTTGAAGTTGGATTTTTGGTCAATTTAAGGCCAGTGTCTTGCAATACAAACTCAATCTCCACAATATGAAGTTTGATTATGAGGGATTAATCAAATTAAAGTTTGATTTGGGAGCTGCACGAGAAAGTGCTAAATGTTAGGATCAAGTTTTACATTAACAGTTATGATCCCCATCATGTCAAAGATTGAAACCTTTTCATTAAGACATCGTTATGAGTAATGAAATTAGATAGAAGCTTTCTATGGATGTCTTATTTGTAAGGAATAATTTACAAGTTGATTTCCCTTAAATCCTATTTGATGGATATGATGTACTTATTCATACGAATTTATGGGGGACCTTTTACACCAGTTAAATTCTTTAAATGATTTTTCATACTATATAAATTTTATGGAACATAAATCCAATTACTCTTGTTTATATCTTTTTAAAGCCAAATGTGTTTTTATATACCTTTGTAAGTGCTTCGTTCATTGACTTGATAAGCCTTTCTCGTTTTCTTTGAAATTTAGACAGAGAGAGATCATCATGCCATTGTCAGCAAGCGACTTGCAGACGTTACTCTTGAGCTAAAGTACACCATGTTATTAGTATTATTAGCTTTCAAAGAATATATATATATATATATGTTCTCTTATTACTTGTTTTCTTATATTAATAACTAGCATTGCAATACTGAAAAGTGAAGAAGAATCCACATTTTAATCACCACAGGCAACTCATGGGAGAAGAGCTTCAGGGACTTGGATTTCATGATTTGGCGAGGCTGGAGAAATTGGTCGAGATTGGATTAAGCCGTGTTGGGAAAACGAAGGTATATTCTGAATAATTTGTTTTAATATATATATTTATCCTAAAATTTATTTTTTTATGTGTTGTTACAGAATGACAAGCTTTTGATTGAGATCAACAAGCTGAAGACAAAGGCAAGTTCTAAAAACCCATTTACCTTTTCTATATGTGGTGATTTGGACTCAGTTGAGAAATATAGTTTTTAACTTTAACAAAGTTCTGTTTTAGTAGTGTTTGATGATTTAAAAGGAAAATTCTTATATTAAAATGTTACATCATATATCATTCATGAGCTGAAATGAATTTTCAGTAAGTAATTTTTCAACCGTCAGCTACATTAGTTTTGCCATAGTAAATTGTGCTGGTGAGCAAACTATGCATAAATGTGTTTTATGATGATAATCAAATTGGAACAGTAATATTACAGTTTATGATTTTGATTCCTTTACTTTTTTTCGGTACTTTTTAACATTTGTCGTTTAAAAAAAAAAAAATACAGGAAGCAGAATTATTGGATGAAAATGCAAGGTTGAAACAACAAGCTGAGGTGATCGATGTTTTAATCTTCACTCTCTCTTATCTAGTCGTCTCTAAGTATGTTGATACGTGCAATCAAGAATTATTAATGTACAAGTTCTCAAAACATTTAAGTTTGTTAATGAAATGTTGTAGGCTCGTGATTTCGAATGCACGCTAAAAACTAGCAACGATCAAAGAAGCTCGGCCGAGTCCATTGCCAATTCTCATGGATTGTTGAATAACAGCAAGAGTCTCTCAGATACCTCTCTCAAGTGGGTATGTTTCAATAGACTTACTTCAGATTATATGTCATGCATATGACACTTGGTATAAATTAGTGACTGTTTATTTACAACCCTAGTGCACTTGATAGGGCGATTATATTAAGACTATGTTTGGTAAACCTAGATGATAAGTTAACTGATAGCTGATATCTTATAAGTGAAATTTAAGCTTATAGCCGATAGCTTATGGCTGAAAAGTTAGCTGATATGATAAAAGTGTTTGGTAAAATTAGCTGATAAGGTAGCTAAAAAAAATTTCAACGGACTTATTTCAAGTTGATCTTAAAAATAAAATTGATATGATTCCATAGTTGAATGTGATATACAAATNGAAAAAAAAAACTGCTAGTGTTTACTTTTCTCGTTATTTTGGTAATTTTCTCACTTCTTAGCAATTAAATATACGCAAAGACTCACAAATTCATTGAAGGATTAAAGAGTTAAATTTAATACATAGAAGTTAGTTTAAATATAGTTAGATTCTAGTTTTTGTGTTAAACGCAACTAATAAAACAATCTATTGTTGAACATCCAAAAAATAAAATTTGTGATACAACTTTAATTAACTTATATAGTAACAGTGGTACGAGAATAAACTACAGTTACATTACCATCTTCCATAGAAGGAGTGAGACTGGTAAACGGACATTTGTTCTTGTGAGGAAGTGAATGAGGAGATGGGTAGTAGTATTTTTCTCGTCAGTTTGGGGTTTAGGTAGGGTTGAGTCTATATTTTAATTTTTAAACACTAAACAATTAATCTTTATTTTAATATTTACAAAAAACAAATCCTTGTTTCAATTTTTTTACCCTTATCGGTTCGGTATCGGTTTTACCGAACCCTTATGGGTTCAAAACCGATAGTGATTCGGTAACCGATAATCGGTTACCGTTACAAGCGGTTCGGTACGGTTCGGTTTATTTTCTCGTTTCGGGTCGGTTTTCAGTTTTCGGTTAAAAAATGTCAGCCCTAAGATTAACATGTCATCAACATATAAGATTTAGAGTATAAACACTTGTCAGAGTTATTATGTCTAAATTTATATGAAATAATAACACTATCAAATTCTTCATGACATTGTTTAGGAGATTGCTTTAAACCATATAGTGATTTAATGAGCCTACACACTTTATGTTCATTTCCAGAAAGAACAAAACCTTCTGGTTGTTCCATATAGACATCCTCATTGAGATCTCCATTCAAGAATGTCGTTTTGACATTCATTTGATGAACAAATAGATTATGAATTGATTCCAGAACAAACAATATCTTAATCGAAGTTGTTTTTGCCACTGAAGCATATGTATAAAAAATAATTAATACCTTTCTTTGTTTAAATTCTTTAGCTATTAATCTAGCTTTAAAAGTTTGAATAGTACAATCGTATTGTATTTCTTATGCAACACCCACTTGCAACCAATTGTCTTAGATCTTGCTGGAAGATCTACCAATTTTCATGTTTGATTAGATACAATAAAATTCATTTCATCATCATTTGTCTCTCTTCAGAAAGCGAAATTGCTAGAATCTATGGCTTCTTTGTATGTTTGGGGATTCTCATCCACTTGAAGTATTATAGAAATTTTCCTAATAATATATTCTCTATTCCATCTACTAAATAAAAAGGAATTCTTTGAGAGTCAATGTCATCCGATCCCAATAATTTTTCTTTTCTTTGTCTTTGACTTTTTCTTATAGACACCAAAGGGTTCTCAACAACCATCATAGTCCATTCTCTTGAGGCACTTCAAGATTAGTAGATTCTTGAGAACTACTCAATAAATTCTCAAATAATTTTACATCTTTTCATTCAATTATCACATTAGATTCAAAATCTTATAACCTATAAAGTTTGCTATTTGTGGCATAGTCTATAAATGCACATTTTATGGCTCTCAAACCCAATTTTATTTTGTTTAGATTCGTTTTCTTGCAACATGCAAGACACCCCCATACTTGAAGTAACCTATATTAGGTTTTCTTCCGTTTCATAATTCAGATGGAAATTTTTCAATTTTGTTTCATAGGGATTCGATTCAAAATATGACACGTACTCAAGAACGCTTCACCACACAACTCAAAATTCAACTTAGCATGTAATAACATAGCAGAGATTTGCTATGGAACCAACTGTTGGCTTCATAATGCAGTCAACCTCCTATACATAGTACGTAAAAGATACCATATTTTATAATTAAATAATAAAAATACAATGAACAACTAATTGATAAGAAATATAACAATATTGAAAAGGTAAAAGTAATTATAAATTTTAATTTGAATGAAAAAATAAATACTACAAAATATTTTTAAATTTTATTTAAAATCATTAAAAAATCTTTGAATCATGTTAGTAAACATTAGAATATTTAATAATATGTACAACTAAGTAGCTCTTATAACTAAAAAAATAGTACAAACTTTATGTAGCATTTATTTTTCTCAAATTTAAATTTAAATATATAAGTGCTTTTATTTCCGTTGTGGTTGAATATTTATTACTTGTATTTTCTTATTAAGTAGTGGTTGACTAGAAATAATATTTTTTTCTTATTAAGTAGTTGTTAATTGTGTTTTCTATTAATTAGAAAATATGTTATTTTTATTTGCTATTAAGTAGTGGCATTTGTTTCACTTTTATTTTTTAATAGTAGTACCTAAGTAAACCTTGAACAATCATTAATGAATGTAAAAAAATACTTTTTTTTTTTGGTACAACAAAATACCTATTTCTGCCTCTAGTTCATATACCGTTAAGTTCACAAAAAGTACTATATATTAAAGCAAGCAAATTCGATGATCTTTTCACACTTTAAAAAGACTTTTTGATCATTTTAGACGACTAAACACATATTTCACATTTTTCAATTCATTTATATCACAATTAATTAAACCACTTTTGATAATTCTTTTTATAGTGTCTAAATCAACATATGTGCAAGCCTATTATGCCAAAAATGAACAAAAAAATTGAGTCACACACATAAACAGAAATAGATGCCACTATTATTTTCAATACAAAAATTAATCCTCCCATCAATAGAATAACCCTTTCCAACAAATTTGTCGATTTTGTTAAAATTAGCTTACTCGATTCAAACACAACTCTTATACCCAGTTTGCTAAGTAAATCACCACTCACAAGATTTCTATTCATATCGGGATATACAACACATAACAAGTGTGGCCTTGATTGTGGCCTTGCCTAGCACCTTGATTTCTTTTTTTATTTTTATTTTTTTATTTCTCATTTAAATCTCTTAGTCGTCCTTTGAATTTTTAAAGGTTTTGAAAAGAAATTTGTCATAGATAATATGAAAGGTGGCACCGGTATCATACAATTATCCCTGCACCTTCTCCTGGACATCACATACATGACTTAACATTGCAATAATCTCAATATCAATTGCATTTACTTCAGCCCCCTTTCGTTCCCTGCAATCTCATACAAAATGTTCATGTTTTTCACAAACATAACAAGAGTCTTTCTTACCCTTAAAATTTTCATGGTTTTCTTAAGACCAAAAGCAATATTGAATTTTTATTTTTATTTTTATCAGCAAAATATTTTGTTTTGGAAACCATATTTGCTTCCCACCATTAAACTCATCAGCCATTGGATCTCAAGTCACGATTCTTCCTCAATACGAGGATGTTTTGAATCTCCTCCAAGGAGTAATCGTCATTATTGTGGAGAATTCATTTTTGGTAACCCATCCAACTTGAAGGTAGTTTAGCCACGATGGCACTAACTTGAAAAGCATTTGGAAGTTAAATTTTTAAAACTCTCATTTTATTCACAAGTATTTGCAACTCATGAATTTGAGGTAATAAAGTCAAAAAATTTGAAATCAATATACTAGGAAATGAGAAATTTTTTAGTACCTTCTTTGATTTTGTATTTATTTTCTAGAGCCTCCCAAATTTCTCTAGCCGAATTATTGGTGTAGAGATCATAGTCTACCAGATAAGGCATGTAGAATATGGTCCCGATATATTAACTCGTCTTCCTCTCTTTTCTTCCATGCAATCACAATTTCCGGCATATCTTTTCATTTGGTTTTGGTAGAGGAGCGAAGGTAGGATCGAGAATGTAAAATATCTTGAGGGTCGTGAAAAGAAATTTCACCTTGTCTTGCCACCTAGTGAAATTTGGACCGTCAAACCTGTCCAGCTTCAGAAGGTGTTGGTACATGATCTTGATTGTCTCCCTCTCCATGTTAGTAGAGTTTTTTATTATTGAAAATAATTATAGCTAAACTAGAGAAAGAGACACTCAAATTTTAGTATTCTATAATTATCTCAAGAACACATTTAAAATAATATACAACGCAATGCCCAAACACTTTGTCCAAAAACTCTACTTCATCCCTCTCTTGAATCCTTAGGGAATACACAAATTAGAAATGGATTTTGAGATTGATCAAGCCTTTTACTT